ATTGCAACCTCCCCTGCCCTACAAAAAAGACTGATAAAGCTTGTTTGGCTTTGGATGTTTATCTTGTCCTCTGATTTTAGCAACTATGGCAGTGTGTAAGCTGGCTGATACACACTTTATCTTTGGGCCCAGCCACAGTGTATCTATGTATTTCATTAGTCTTTTCACCTTGCTGAATAATGCTTGCTACAGCTTAGATCTGGAATGCACCCCAAAGGCCAGAATGATAAATGCTTAGTCACAGGTTGGTGCTCCTGGGAAGTGGAACTGTGAGAGGCGGTCATGGTGGGAGGTTTTACTGCATTGGGGTGTCCCCTTGAAAGGACCTGGGACCCAGGTCACTGCCTCTCCTGTTTCCTGGCCAGGAGGTGAATGGTTTGTTCTGCCATACATCCCTACCATAATGTGCTATCTCAGGCCCAGGTGAGTGGGGCCCACGGGTCATGGACTGAAACATCCACCACCATGAGCCAAAACACACCACTTCCCTTACAATTATAAACTCATCTTCCCAAGTATTGGTTACTGTGACAGAAAACGGACAAATGCAATGTCTAACATAATCTGAACATTCTTATAAATGTTATTTCTTTGGTCCTTATCTTTAGAACCATATGATCCTATTAGTTACTGACAATTTTTTTAAAAATTCTTTTATCTGTACACTTTAGGTATACAATACATTTACATTTATCATTGGGTGCTTGTACCTGTACGTGGTGTATCTTAGTTCTTATTTTTTTCCCCCATTACCTGTGTGCCCTTCACCCCCTCCACCCTTCCCTATTTACAAAGATTTCTTTTCCATGTTTTTTTCTTTTCTCATAATTTTTCCTTCCCCTTCTTCCCTTTCCCCTCCCACCACCCCTACACCTTTGGACCTTTTCTTATTTCAAATTATCAATTATTCATTTTAATCATTTTCATCCTTATTTACACTTGAACTTTTTCACACTAGAGAAACCATGCGGTATTTACACGTGTGTCCTATTTATTTCACTTAAGAGTATGGCCTCAATATGCATCCATTTAGCTATAAATGACTCTAGTCTCTCATTCTTTATG